CAGCGAGATTTATTACAGTCCCAGGGATAAATCCCAATTTCCCCACCCATGAGATTTATTCCGATTCACACATAAAGGCCACCGCACTCTGACTACATGTAGCTGCTACGAGTGCGGCACCAAATGAAACCCACATGACGACTATCCCATCACATTCAATCAAACGTTACAGTAGAAATCTATCATGTCGAAGCGCATGCCGCAGTTCAACGCCGCAAATTATCTCACTCGTCACTAAAAAGAGGGTACACCCTTTAGCTTATCGATTATCACAGCATGCGCATTCTCGTACGATGAGCCAATTGTAACATGGACTCTAACAAAACAATCTACATGGTGCTCACTATTCGTTTACCCTGCTGATGCCGCCATCACCGCCCTCACAATCGGTGCGACATGGTTGACGCTGCGACGTTGAGGGCTGTGGCGACGGCGTCAGCAGGGTGGACACGTGGTCATTCGACGTAAGGCTGTGACAGTCGGTGGCGTTTAGAAGTCCAATTAAGCATCAACAGGGGTTGTCGTACATGTGCACAGCTCACTGTGACGCCGCCGTCGCATAACGTCGTTCTACGTCGAAATTGCGAGTTCAATAAAATGGTAATTTTATGTATTCATGTGATGGAACTTCATTTTACTATGCCAAATATTGCTTTGGGTTATTATTTGATATTACTACGAATCCGGATAGCATAAATCTAAATCGAGGCGAAAAAGTAGTCCCCCGCAATAGGGAACCTTTGTTGGCGATATGGTTTTAGGGGTTTTCAATTTACACAAGTTTAAAGTTTAAAAAGGCATGTTTGATGGGTAGCTCGATTCTGATTAGACAAGAGTTAGCATATGGTATTGGAAAGTGCTCGGATTCAAAAATGGACATCATATTCGGAGGGGGTAGACACCCTGGCAACCTCCAGAAGACAAATCGCACACCAAGAACAATGCGCACATTATATTCCCCAAAGGTTGTTCATACTCTCGATCAACTCATACATCTCTTCGTCCAGTATACCCGTATGGCGCCAGCAGTTAGAGCTAAGCTTAGTAGTGGTCCGGTAGGCGAGGTTTGTGTGCTGATTTATGTGACGGATGCACGTCCATGTGGTCGCTCTGGGTGTTGAGCTAACGAGACATAGTCGCATAGTCGACTTTTGGGGCACACGTGGCAGCCCAAACGCATGTTGAGCCCAAATTCGAAATTCAAGCCCTCTCATGGCAGGATGCCCTCTCATGGCAGGATGGACTTGTGGTGCGTCAATAGTGAGCGCTTTTGCTCGACAGTGAGTCTCATCCGTGTCGAGGGTGACGGCATTTTGACAACCAAGTGCATTTTCGCAACATGTGTCGTTTGAAATTTCAATCAGCCTCTTTAAAATTATTTTGCACCATCTTGTGAAAGAATACATTTTGCGAGGATATTGATTTATTGTGGGTTCCCTATTGCGGGGGACTACTGTATAGAACTTTCTGGGGTCAGATTTATGTTTGGATATTTCAAATATAAATCTGACCCCTATAAAACCTGCCGGTGGTAGCAATAAGTCCGGGGTGGTCCTATCTAAGGGTTATCCGTATAAATCTGAGCTATAACTACGACCGGTGGAATTGCTTTAACCGACAAAGAAGTGTAATTCCCCGATGGAGAGGTATTCCAGGTTTGTCCTGACTAATCCGTAGTTGTTCCCTCCAATCTAATTACTTTGTCCCGCTGGAAGACACGTGTCCTGCTCTGTTTCAACGTGGCAAATCCATAGTTGTCCTGCCAAATGACAGTGTAGTGAGGTCAATGTTCAGAGAGTCCTGCCGAAATACCGTACGTTTGGGCGAAAACGCTTCAGAAAATTCGTAACTTCCTCAATACTACTCCACTTTTGCTGAAATTTTGGGAAGTACTTCAGATTAGTATAAAACAGTTTATCTCTATCTGAATTGTGGTTTGTATTGAAATGCAGTTAGTATTTCCTTATTGCCCGAGTATAATGTGATTGCAAATTCGAATTAAAATTGTCGAAATACTATTCTCAGTTACAATAAAAATACTACGTAGTATGCGATTACAGCGAGCAACATGCTCGTTGGGCCTAACCGGTACTACCGAAGTTTCTTCAGTTCTATCCAATCATGCTTGAGATATTTTGGGCCAAACTAAGGATTGGTTTAAATAAGCCAATCATATCCCTTTGCCTGTATGTATTCGAAGTTCCAACCAGAACAAGTTATTATTACATTCTGTAAAATAATACTGTCGAAATTCGTTTTTGGTTGGATGGTGTTGAAGAGATGAAAATCATGAAATCTATGCTGCATTCGAAAATGAAGAAAGCTACTCCTTATGCAATACTCCACGTATTGGTATGCAGCCTAGCCCAGTACACGCAGGACATTGTCATGGATGTACTGGGCTATTCCGAAGTTAATAATGTTTTGAATTGGCGGAGGAGTAGGCTCCTTCAATTTCGGGAAAGCGTTTTCGCCCAAACGTACGGTATTGGCGGTCTGCCTAATTTGACAGTTCCTGCCTAATACGATAATGTCCTGCACACAATGCAAGTGTCGTGTTTAATTCGAAATTGTCCCGAAATTTTTAGATAAAATCATCAAAGTAATCGAATTTCTGGAAAATTCTTGGAAATTTTGCAGAAGGATGTCGCAAATTTCAGTGCACTCATTGTTCAATTTGCATCTAAGCCCTCATGGAAACAAGCAAGTGCGCAAGTTGGACCAAAAGTCGCAGACTTTGTTCGCCTGGATCGTATCAGCGCCCGACCCGTTGGATATGGCAAGCGTAAGGGCCCAAGCTCGCGAGATTTGACCCGAAAGGCTCAACAAGTCTCAGTCCGCATGGAAATGTGGTGACAATTTCCGAAAGTAGTGCACCCCTTTGTGCAACGACACTTTCCTGAGAAGTTGAACAAACTATTGAAGTTGACATCAGCCGACGCCAGCCATACTGTGCCTTGGTGCCGGTGCTCTTTCGAACCCAGCAGACGGTACTAATCCAGCCGAACGCGGTCATCTTGTGCCGTCCGATGACGGCGCTCCATCGAACCCGCAAACGGCACACCAGCCCACGCAGCGATTGACATTGACAATGCAAATCAGCCTCTTCTGCACACAAGTTCAACGAACCGTCCTGACAGCCACCGTGAAACTGACAACGGCGACGAAGACCTGACATCAGTGACGTTCATGACGGAACACCTATGAATCTAGCAAATCAAGACGAGTACGGCTTGGGCTACAAACACATCAACACATGCTGCGAACCGATTGCGACGACAGGCCGCCCACCTTGCATAGCCAAATTTTCTCGAGGGGGCAAGTACCAATGAGGGGTCTACAACGAGTCCTGCACACGATGCAATGTCATGTCGCCTTATGTATCGCAACGACATAGCGACAACGTCATGACCTATTCTGAATGCGCGTCGGGAAGCTGCAGCGCTGGTTTGAACTGCCGCAAGAACGCTATACAACGTCATCGGTACCCTAAAACGACGGTTGTAGAGTGCCCGAAGTTCCAATACGCGTTGGGGCTTGAAGAAGCTGACACGAAAATCCTTGAGTACGTGGGGGAGCGTATTGGCAAAGCCGAGTTCACGCGTCGCAAACTCATGGCATGGATGGATACCTTGCCACCGTCTCACGAGAACAAGGGGTGCTGTACATTGATGCAATGTATGCGGGGAACGAGTCGCGATTCATCAATCATTCGTGTGTATCCAATTGTGTCTTTGAACCCTGGTTCGTGGATAGTGAAGTCCGGTTGGTTGTTGTGGCCTCTCGACACATGCAAAAGTTCACAGTTCTTTCCATTTCTTACATGAGACCAGAGTGGAACATCCAATGCTTGTGTAAATATTGCGATGGTAGTTACAACAGCGAAAGTTATGCCTTCCTGTAATCAATAAGACATTCACCACACGTGTTGATTTGCATATGAACTGCAGTGGGGACATAATTTATACTTGCTTGTAGATATCCAGCACAATCTGAGTTTTCCTGCTCAACTTTGTGGAGTATCGGTCCTGGCTGGTTAACGCTGAATTAGAATTTGGCCTGCCAACTTTGGAAGTGTCCTGCTGAAGATGAAATTGTCATGTGTAGCAACTCGAGCCTACTAGTCCATGGTGCAATTTATGCCCTTTCTCAATAGTACCCAGCTGGGGCCGCGGAGTTGGTGGCATTTCCGTTTTCTACTGTCCTCTATCCGTCTAGTATCCCCAAACCATTGCTACAGTGGTACAAACTAGTACTAACAGTAAATAGTGCCCCCTCCGTACCACAATAATGGTTCGAATCAGAATTTTGATGTATGGCTCCTTGTAAAAAATACATTTCACTGCCAAAAATAATGATTTATTTTTGGGGGTGTAACGGTACAAAATTGTCTCACAGGACACCAAAATATCCAATTGCCGAATTGTGCAATTCTGACAGCGCCAATCGATTCAGGAGGGGGGGTTGGGTTACCCCGAAAACTCTCCCACCAAGCACAATAAGCCGACTGACTACCAACACCACTATCTGCATGTGCGTCTATTCATCACATTCATCGATACTATCTACTCATCAATGCTAATCGACTCAATACCAACATCGTTCAGGACACCAATCATGTCGTCCACGCCCTCGGGATCAATCAACGCCATTTCTTCGAGTTGGTACGCAAGCTCGTTCACCGCGATCGCCTCCGCGAACTCAGCAGCAAACTCTCGTTCCAGACGCTCACTGTCCGCTCCGACCAAGACTGCGCGTGCGGCATCAAATGTGTCGACAGGACGCACAACGTTCCGAGGTAAGATTCCCAGTCGCTGCTTCTTCTCCTTCGCCATGTGCGGTATCTTGTAGGTGTTGTCACCATTAACCTTCATTGTCTCGATAAGACAACTTTGCAGCGTCAGAAACGTGTGATCAAGACGTTCAAACGGGTACTCGACAGAGGCATCAGCAACATGGGCCACAAGATCGTCGATTGAGCATGCTGATTTCTGGTGTTGTAGGGATTGAATGGCGGCGAAAAATCCTAGATCCAGGATGTTCGTGTCCGGGGAGTTCAGTGGCTGTGGTGTCAGTGAGATACTCCAGCCTTGCTTGGTAAGTTCAGTGTAGCGTAACTTGATGTCGGACTCCGTGACGTGGGCTCGAGCGTTGTGGTGCTGTATCATGACGTGACGGTCGTTCGTCGGCCACTTGGCGATGATGGCAGGTAGGACCTTGTGGACTAGAAACTACACGTATTTGGTCACCGTGATCGGCTTGGTTTCAGGTGATCTGGCGGCGCGATTGTTGCTCGAGCGCTGTACCAGCACGGTTTCGACGAACGGCCACGTACCGATCTTCCCATCCCACCAGGTCACAGTGCCTTCAACGAAACGTGGTCGGGCCACAGCGGCGAGAAACATAACCTTGGTAACGAAACGCTTGCTCTTACACTTTCTATCCGGCACGGTCTCGCCAGGGACGAGGTAGTACTTGCGGTTAGTATTAGTAAGATAGAACCACTTCTCGTCAATATGGACGTAGTTTAGCAGCTCTTGTATTTCCATATCGTGTTTGACGAAGCCCAACAAGGCAAACTTTAGTCGAGCGTACTTGTTCGCTTCCGTCAAAAGAGGACGAATCATATTAGAATGCGCACGAAACATCCCCAGTTTGAGATATCGATGGAGTGATCCGCGACTTATTCCTGGATTGTTCGTAAGTATATTGCACTCACGAAATACTCCTACTGGTCTGTGCAGACAGAGCACGTAGTGTCGTACGATTCGCAAAAGGTACTTCCAACAGCTTAGCTTTTCCCTTTTTCAAGTTGACCACGGACACAACCATGTTGATGCCTCCAACGCCTTGGGCCTTCGCTCGGGCAAGCACTTTCCGAATTGTCACGACGTGACAGGAGTACTTGTTGGCCAAATACTCGCCAAAACCCTTGGGTAATCTTGTGCAGTAGCTGCCGCTGCTCTTAAGCAGCGTTTCAAGAAGGATGGCTTCACGCTCGTCGTTGGTCAGGTCCCACCTTCCAGTTCCCATTTTGAGTGGCATGTGAATGAATGTATGTCTAAGAATGTTGTTTTTATATGGATTTATGTATGGAAATTTTGAGCTTTAAAATTGGTTACGTTATGGAACGATTTTTCGCGGTCAGGTACATCATGTTAGAGCTCTTGGCGCGCTCTTTCTCGTAGTCCAATCATAACTATTTAATCCGCTCTGGGGAGGGGTGCAGATAAATTTGAATTTTCCCTACAAATATAATCACAAGACATGTACACCCTCCCCAAAGTCGAACCATTATTGTGGGACGGAGGGAGTACTCGTTTACGAATGGATATTTCGGGTGTTGCGAATATTCGTCCGGTTAAACCATACTTTACACTCGAATCGCGAATGGAAAATATTCGTAACGGCAATTATCTATTTGCCGTACATTTGAAAAAACTATGATGCAGGAATGTCTGCAAGATACTATCCTTTTGCGAATATTTACGAATATCTTGTTACCCGGTCTATGGAAGCCATTTCGATAACATATCTTCTCTGATGGGACGGGCCAAGCGGAAGTACGCGAGCGGCGATGCCTGGGGAAGTGTTGTCTCCTTACGCTTAGTCGAGGACACACGAGCACAGTACGAGTCACACCTCCAACGACTTAAGTTATGGCTACAGGAAAACCACCCAGTGCATGTGGTGGATTCAGCAATTAAGTTGTTACTACCATGCCACGTGTGCGAGGAGTACCTCACATATTCTTCGATTAAGTGCAACTCCAGTGGCATCGAAATCACGCCAACCAAGTACAACACTTTCTCAACAATCAATCAGTGCAAGAGTGCCATCAAGTACCTGTACAAGGAAGCGAATTACGAGGTTGATCAAGAATTGGCCACTCTTCTCAAAGGTACAGTTGATATGATAGCATTTGGTTGAATAGGTGTCTGACGAGGGTTAGATTTTTCGAGTGGCTACAAGCGCAAGGTGGCCATGCTCCAAGAATGTGGCGAAATGACCGTCGGGGAAGGCAAACTGCCAATGTCACAACAAGGTTACTAAGCATATACTACGTAGTAGAACAAAAAAAAACTATTAATCCAAAATTGGGTACATATATTTGGCCAAAAGAGCGCTTACGACAAAGTCCGACTTCAGCTTGACTCTCATGTCCCACTTGTCCCTCGTCCTCTCGTGGAACATGATGGCGAGATCCGTGTCTATCTCGACGTATCGGTTCGACAATATTTCTTGGGAAGGTTAGTAATCAGCTCATGTATTGATCTGAACTACTTTACATAGATGACGCTCTTGTTATCAAGTTTGGCAAGATGAAAAACGACCAAGAGGGAAATTCATGCTTTCCCAAGCATGTCTACGCGAACCCACTCGAGTTGAGGATAAAATATTGCCACATAAGAATTGCTGAGGACCACATAGGAATTGCTGAGAGCCACATAAGAATTGCTGAATCGCACACAGTTATTGCTGAAGAACACTTGAAATTTGCTGAATTGAATATAGAGTATGTTACACAACGAGATCCTCTTCGGCAGGCAGTGCGTTATGAGAATTTCTGGACACATGTGACTATTATCAATGTGATTGTTTATTAAACTCACATGTGGACTCACATGTGGAGGAAGGGTGGGGAAATCACGAAATACCGTAACCTTATCGACGGCCCTAAGACCAACCACTGATTGATGGCATAAAGCGGACGCGAATCAGGATGTAGTGAACTGTACTGCATGCTACCAGACTCCCACAGCAACTTTGCCGGCTTGTGGCGTAGACTGACACACCTAGCCTTCGCCAAAAGCCGCCAAAGTTCCACATATATCGTGCTTCGTGCTGCTTCTGTAAAAGACATATTCTATAGTCGTGATTTATGTACGCCTAGATATAGAAAGAACCTTGTTTGCGGTACTAACGGATGGCTGAATGCGCAAGGGGATCGATCACTTACATACCCATGGACCCACGGAGCAGTGTGTGTGAGGTGGCAAATTGAAGAATGACGACATTGAAATATGTGGTTGGCCATGACATATACTTCAAGTAATATTTACTACGTAGTATTCAAACAAAACGCAGTATTTCTGGAAGATGATAGGGTTGAACATGAGCATGTTGCCTCGTATTGCCTGACTGATGTACTTCGAAGTACTAAAGTAACTAGCCTTGCTTTGCAGATACCATATTCACAACTAATAGAATGATAATGAGAGGAGCTCATACAGCATAGTAGAGTATTTGCGCGTCGTTGTTGCTCGCATCAACGACGGGCAAATCCATTTCTGCTAGTAAGGCAAGACTAGCATTCGAGAGTCCTGAATCATGCCAGCAATTGAGCTAGCAATTTGATGTAGCCCTTTGATATTCCTTGGTACTAGTATGCGTTATGTGTGTGCAATGTGACTTTGCGTGAAAGTTAAGAAGTAAAACATACAGCTGTGTGTGGAGCTCAACGACAAGTTATTCGTGTAAACGCTAGCAATTAGGGTAAGAGCCGTGGTGAATCTACACCAGAAAGTAGAGGTTTCAGCCACTAGGCGCGACTAGCTCATAGTGCATGTAAATCGCTACAACTGTATCGATTGCAACCCCTACATCGTCTATAACCCCCCACGGCCTTGTATCCCCTCCACAACGATTCTGCTTGTGTCTTAACTACATGTTAAAGCACACAATAGCCACTTACGAGGTTAAAATCACCATTCACGACATCATGACTAGTTCATAGTGTATGTAGATCACCAGAGTAGAAGCGACTGCAACCCCTGCACCTCATCAGCCCTTATGTATCCCCCCTTCCCCTCACAATATTCGACTTGTAGCATCCCCCAAGCCAAATTGCCTAGCACTCTCTCTATTGTTCTCAACGCTCACTC